ATCTAAGGTGGACAGGTGCTCACTTACCATTTTCTTGCCTATTTTAGCTTTTATTCCTAATCTGTTTTTTACGGTACTGTTTTTGATAGGTTGGACTGTTGTTGTTTTTTTTTTTGCATAAAGATGGATGCAAAAAAAAAATGAGTTAAGCCATTCTGCTTCCTTCCTTCTTGCCATTTTCTCCCATTAATGGACCAATTGTTTCCTTGATTTTTTTTTCTTGTTTTGAAAGAAAGCTTTTTGTGTTATTTTTGACTTTTGTCAGAAGCCTTAGTTCATTTTGAGCCTTAGCTTTCCTCACCTCATCTTTGCAGGCTCGGGCTATTTGCTGATATTCTGCCTTAATTATGTGTTCATTTTTCACTTTTTATACTTGTCCTTTTTGTCTTTCAATTTATCAGAGTTCTTTATGCAACCATGTTGGTTTCTTTTGACAACTGTTACTTTTCTATTGGTATTGTGCTAGAGTGGGCTTTTATAATCTCACTTTTCAAAGCTTCCCAAGCTTCTTGGCTTGTTTTCCCCTTGAGGATTCTCATCCTTGGAATCCTTCCCAAACTCTCTAAGTTTATTAGCTCTCTTAAAGTCCAAGATTCTAGTTTGACTTTGTTCTATTGCTTGTGCTTGCATAATGTTGTAAGAGATAATTCACTAAATTCTGGAGCTGTTGTGATAATTCATCATCAAAATATTTATCATAAATCCCGGAAAGACTGTCTGGCTCAGGGTTTTTCCCTAATTTGATTTTTTTCTCTCTATAACTTGTGAAATTTCCATCATCGTAATTGGTCTCTCCATAAGACCTCTTTGCATATCTGTAAGATGTGGTAGGTTCTGTTTTTGGAAATAACCTTCTATTCCCCCCCCCAAATGTCAGACCCTTTGTATAAATCAGCATTGTAATGATAAAGGTTTTTTGTATTGCCAAATTATCTGTTATAACTACGTCACTCTCCTAAAGTTTAAAAATCATCTTCGTCTCTCTTTCCTTCTTTAATATCTACTGTATGCCAACCATCTTCCCAGCTTATTTGCATGTTCAGAGTTCCTTTCCTTAAAGAAATTCAATGTGTTCTCCAATTGTCTAACTTTATTCACAGATAATTGCTGTTGAATAAGTTTAATTTCATTTAGAATGTTTATCTTTGTAGATAGAAATTCTTCTTTATTTTTAGTTTCCTGTAAGATCTCATGGATTTTTTCCCCCTGCAAACAGAAGTTTTACAAAGACCTTGAATTTCTAGACAAGGCAGGTGAGCTGTTTACTTTTACTTTTTCAAATGTAGCTGAAACCATAACCATTTATTTAAGCCACAGGCATATTTGCTGACAATATAATCAGATTTAAAGTTGCTGGGAAATGAAGAGAACAATTAGTAATCATGTTACTAATTGCCAGCCAGAACATAAATAAACTTCAGGAAATGCATTAAAAAATGAATTCTCAACTAATTTTGATAACCGCTAAATAGCACTCTTTGTCTGATGATAAGATAAGATAAGGAACAGAGAGGAGAGGAAAGGAGAGGAGAGGAGAGGAGAGGAGAGGAGAGGAGAGGAGAGGAGAGGAGAGGAGAGGAAAGGAAAGGAAAGGAAAGGAAAGGAAGCACTTTGATGGCTTGGAGAGTATTGGGGCTACACATACTTCAAAAATGAGTCAGAAGCCAGCCTTAGAGTTTTGTTATACTATTCACTGAAACAGTTTGGTTCTTTTCAAACCTTTGCATGAACTGAAAAAAAGGTGTAACTCTTCTAAAGTCTGCCCTCCCCTAATTTATAGGGCAACCCATTTCACAGCTATTTCTCTGGGCAGTATACAAATTAAAAACTAACAATTAAAACGATCCAAATAATATATGCCCAAGGTTGCAAACAGAACAGTAGTATTACATGGGTATAATGAGGATTGCCAAAAACTGACAGGGCCACGTCATTCTGGACTAGCTGCAACTTTCAAATGCTGGTCCCATGTAAAGCACATTACAGTAATCCACACAGGTAGTAAATAAAGCAGGGGTCATTGTGAGTGAGGCCTCCTGGTTGAGGAATGGGTACTATTGGTGCATATAAAAGTCCTCCTGGCCATGCCTGGCACCTTCTCTTTGAGCAGCTATTATGAATGCAGGAGGATCCCAAATTGCATTCCCACTCCAGCTGGGAAAGTACAGCCCCACAAAGAATTTAAGATGAAGCATCCCCAAATTGGGGATGGGGTCTTAAAACCCACAGCCACTCAGTCTTGGCAGGATTCAGCCAAAGTCTATTCTTTCCCATCCAGATCGACAGAGTCTCCTGGCATTGGGAAAGAATCTAATGGCATCACTTGGTTAGCCCGTGACAAAGATGTATAGCTGGGTGTCATTGTTATACTGACCATTTTTGACCCACGTCCATGGATGACCTCAACTACAGCTTCATATAGATGATAAATAAGAGGAGGGGAAGAGAGGAGCCCTGAGGCAGAACATAAAGGAGGGACCTCCAGACTTGATCCTTCCCCTCTACCAACACTGACTGGAACCAGCCTGAAAGAAAGGAGGAGAACCATCACTGCACCATGACATCTTCTCCCAATTCCGGGGTCAGCCCAGAAGTATACCATGAAAGCCACTGAGAAATCAAGGAAGGCCAGGATGGATGCAGTGGTCATCAACAAGTAGTATCAATGTTGTTTCAGTAGTATGACCAGGTTTAAATCTAGACATAGAGGGAAACAGGTAATCCACTTGATCCAGAGTCCTTTCAATTTGTAAGCTGGCCACAACAACTTTTCCTAAAAAGGGAAGGTTAGAGGCTGGATGAGATTTGTTCAGATCCATTGGGTCCTGGATTAGCCTTTTGAGGAGAAGGTAGTATTTAGATGGAAGACCATAAAAATGCTCTTAACTATAAGTAGACTGAGAAGTAGAAAACAATCCCAGAAACCCCAAATGAAGAACAGCAGGTAGTAACTCTTCCACACTGAATTCTTTATTGTTTCACATCTATGGACAAATTTTTGCCAGACTGAACACTCCACTGTCTGTATCTACAATATGCTCAGTAAACTCTTAGGGAGGACCTGTCTTCACCCTTTTTTCCCCACACATGTGATAGCTGGGCTAAGCTACCTCTTATCCTCTGGGATGTAGCCCCCCCCCCTTCCTGGGGAATCCACTTTTACTACACTTCATCATAAAAAGAGACAATAAAAACAAAAGGATGTGAAAACAACACAATACAGAATAACTCTTCTGTATAGCATTGTTGCAAGGAAGCAATATTGTATGGCCCCAAAGTCAGTAAAAATAATGTTCAACCCAAAGGGGACTTCTTTAAAATGACTTTGGCCTTATCAGTGTCATTTACCAGTCCACACTTACAATTTCTGGGTGTTTTAGTATATCTAGATTCTATAATAGCAATTTCTGCATGACAAAAAAACAACAACAAAAAAAACAGGATGGTGGCCACACACACATCCAATTGAAGCCCACCTCTTTATACTAGTATGTGAGGTCGACATCCTTACAAAAGGGGAAGGACTTTTCCATGAGTCACAGCTACCTTCTTAATTTTTTGATCTTTTTCACTTATCAATGGGTCAAGCCCAAAAATCAAGAATGACACATGATGATTCTTCCAAGCTGAGTTCTTTATTGTTTCACACCTATCTTGCCTGACTAAGCAACTATCTGCATCTACCATGTACTCTGAGAACTACTAGGAAGACGCTCTAACACCCTCTTTCTCTAACACAAAATATTTTGACTGAGTTGCCTCTTATTCTTCTGGAATGTATGCCTGGGAGTCTATCTTCACACCCCTATTACTACTCATCACAGACTGCTTTCTGAAGCACCTTATCTGCCTTTTTGATATAATTCTAACTGTTCCTCTGCAGACTGCTGAGAAAATAACATTTTAACATCTAGTTTAGAAACAGGAATTGAGGCATCTTGGGCTAACATCTTGCCTTCACATGGTAGGCAATATCTGCTGGAATTGGTTTTCATACATGCCAGCAAAAGAATTTCATATTCATGGTGAAATTGGAAGAAAGCAATCTTGGATAATCCCCCAAAAGATGGTAGATTAAATAAATACCTATCTCCAGGAAAAAGTTCAGGAAATAGAAGAATTTCCTTGGCACAAGAAAGTTTTAGCTCTTTGGAAACTGAGGGTCCTTACTACTCTGCTCTGATGATTTGATCTTAGCCACAGAAATGTGTTCATTTAGTGCCTGCAAAAGTTGTCCTACTTGAAGGAATACTTATTATCGGGTTTAGATGGAACAGAAAATCATGCTTTTAGTCAGTAGAATTTTAATAAAACAATTTGTATTGTCTTTATTGATGTTCGTGTGGTTTTTCTGAGAATATTTCAAGCCAGCCAATATTGACTGATGACCAACCAAATGAAATGTTTGAATTTCTATTTGATTTTTCTTCAGGTTAAATAAAAGCATTGGGGAAGATGTCCAGAACCTTATTGAGGTTAGGGCAATATTTATTTTTTGGCTTAGAGGAATATTTATTCATTAATTTATAGGAGATTATGTCTGTCACATTGCAAGTGATCCATATGTTTTCTATTTGACCAGTGTGGAAGGGGGAAAAAAATACTAGATTTAGGAGTTAGTAGAACAGAAGATATTCTTACTTGTTCTGGATCAAGTTACAGCAAGATCCATGGGAAGAAAATAAAAAAATAATTTGAATATTTATAGGTTCTGCTCAAATAGCTAGGTGCTTTTAAAAGATTGAGTAGAGTTCAATGTTCCCAAGTTAATCTTTCACTATGAGCCACTGAAAAATGTTTGTGTGTTTTTTTTTTTAAATCACAACCGGGAACAAGCTGTTAGGAAAGTGTGAAGGCAAAATTAAATTAGCTGAATGAAAAAGAATGGACATTGTACTTTACAGAGAGAGCAGTGTTGGTTTATGATAGCATACATTAGAAGCAGACGGGTGGCACCTTATGACTAACAATGTCATTAGAAAGTATGTTTTAGTAGCTGCAGCAAATTTAATAAACGGGACAAAGAATACTGAGGATTCACTCAGACCCACAAAGCTTATGATAAATATATCTTGAGAAATTTGAAGCTGATGGTCACGAATATATGAAACCATGGTAGGAAAATGCTGGAGAAAAAGGTAAGGATTATGGGTATGGGGCTGGTGTGTGCATGTGTGTCAATCTGCATGTAGTGTGTCTATGTACCTGTGCCTACGGTGAAGAGATGGTGGACATTAGAGTAACTATAATAGATATCTTGAGATTTCAAAAAGGGGAAAGGAATACAAAGAATGGGACTGTTCAGATTTGCTAGTTAAGGATACCTTAAGTTAAGGCTACTGGAATTGGGTATGTCTAGTTTAATGAAGAGAAGGATGAGGGTGACATGATAGCAGGGTTCCAGTATCTAAGAGGTTGCCACAAAGAAGAGGGAGTCAAGCTATTCTCCAAAGCACCTGAAGGCAGGACAAGAAACAATGGATGGAAACTAATCAAGGAAAGAAGCAACCTAGAACTAAGGAGAAACTTCCTGACAGTTAGAACAATTAATCAGTAAAACAACCTGCCTCCAGAAGCGGTGAATGCTCCAACACTGGAAGTTTTTAAGAAGAGACTGAACAGCTATTTGTCTGAAATGGTATAGGGTTTCCTGCCTCAGCAGAGGTTTGGACTAGATGACCTCCAAGGTCCCTTCCAACTTCTTCTTCTTCTTCTTCTTCTTCTTCTTCTTCTTCTTCTTCTTCTTCTTCTTCTTCTTCTTCTTCTTATTATTATTATTATTATTATTATGGTGGATCATCGCACAGTCAGCCAGATGTTCAGACTGGATTTGGCATTTTGTCTACCTATCGAGTCCTTACCCAGGACCTGGGATAGGCAGATGTGGATGTTTGATGGTAGTACAGGTATCGTCGCAGGATGGAAGCAGTTCCTAATAAGGCCGCCTTTTGCAATTGACTAATAGCGAATTTGTCAATGCCAATGGTGTTCAAGTGGTGCTCCAGTTGTTTTGGGATTGCACCCAAGGAGCCTATTACTATTGGTACTACCCTTGCTTGCTTTTGCCACAGTCTTTCTATTTCGATTTGTAGGTCTTTGTATTTTGTTATCTTCTCCAGTTCTTTCTCGTCTATTCTGCTGTCTCCAGGCACTGCCACGTCCACTATCCAGACTTTTTTGTCTTTCTTATCGACAATTGTTAAGTCTGGGGTGTTATGTTGCAGGTGCTTGTCTGTTTGAATATTATTATTATTATTATTATTATTATTATTATTATTATTATTATTACTATACTACTACTACTACTACTACCACTACTACTACTACTACTACTACTACTACTACTACTACTACTACTGTTACCTGGAAAGCTAAGGATTCATAGTTAGATTCTGAAAAGAAGGATCGAAGCATTTAAAACACCCAGCTATTTCCCCATGAGAAAAGTCTTCATCTCCCAGTTTTGGTGACCTTCTCCTCTCCTTCAGAACCAAACTTCGCTTTCCACTAGAGCGGAAGCCACAAGATGCAATTCCCCCCAGTCCAATAATTGGGCAGACAAGCTGACATAGTGCCACCTGGCCAGAGACAAGGTACATCTGTGGTGTTAAGGAAGAGGAGAAGAAAGCTATGCTTTTGCTTGAAACCCTTTTGGTGAAAGATAAAGGCAAAGTCATGGCAATAGAGCAGGGGTCCTCAAATTGGCCACTTTAGGACCTGTGGACATCAACTCCCAGAATTTATGCTGGGGAATTCTGGAAGTTGAAGTCCACAGGTCTTAAAAATGGCCAGGTTTGAGACCTCTGCAAAAGAGAAAGCCAGGAGAGTTGGGACAAGAAGCAGAAGGAGGAACATTGCCCATGGCACTCTCCAACAAATGAGCCAGACTTCTCATGGGGTGAAAGATTACTAGGTTTTTTAAAATTATTATTATCATCTTCCAAAATAAGAACACTTCCACACCCCAATTTCTATCTGAATAATGGTATGGTCAAGCAATCTTAGCAACCAGCCAGGTGATTTCAAGCAGAACATTAAGATAAGAGATTTTGCTGAATCACAAAATCAGAAGGATACTAACAAACTGCATTAAAAGCTTATGCCTTGTAATCAATGTGTTAGTTATCAGACTCCTTTTGACTGGTGATTCTACAAACTAAATGTTTTAAAAGGCCTTGGTGTCCTCATTTTCTTCCATGGAACTCAGCGTGACACAATTTGGCATCTGGGACAAGCCACATTATACTTATTATTTATTAATAAGGGTGATAGGCTATTCCCAGCCAAGCCCAAAACAGCTGTAGACCTGTTTATGGATAGCATCATGAGCTTTCAGTTCTCTAAGTGGATATAAGTTAAGGTCAAGTTCCCAGCTTGTACTAAGCCATCATGTATTAGGTAAAGGGGCTGTGAAAATTAGCCATGATAATTTATCAGAATAACAGATTTGGAAGGGACCTTGGAGGTCATCTAGTCCAACCCCCTGCTCAGGCAGGAAATCCTGTACCATTTCAGACAAATTGTTGTCCAATCTCTTCTTAAAAACGTCCAGTGTCGACTATTGTTTATGGCAGGATGGGCACTCCATGGCTGATGTCTTATGTAAACTCTTCACATTGCAAGAATACACACTTCAAATTCAGTAGCAACTGGCAAATATTTGACAAAAATTACTTTTTTCCCCTTTCAAAAAGTAAGAATGAAGAGGAAAGACAAAGACAAACGGATCCTCTTTTCACCTTAAAAAAAAAAATCAATTTACCCAAACCAATCCAGGTCTCAAAACATGCAGGTGAAACTTGACCATTTTATACTGTTAAATTTAGCAAGAACTTTGTAGCTATCAGAGGAAGGGAGGCTGAAGGATATGATAAAGCAGACATGTCAAACTCGTGATGTCACATGACGTTGCGCAACGTATTGGGATGGTTTTGCCATTGCCAGCAATGAGGTGGGCGTGGCTTCTGGATGATGTGTCCAGCCCATGGGCTGGCAGTTTGACACCCCTGCCTTCCAGAAGTTTCTCTTTCCCATTTCCACCCTTATACCTAGAAAATGCCCCAAGTGGGCTGGAAAATGTCAGCCCTACCACTTCCTGTGGATACCATCAACATCAAGGTTGTTGTTTGGATGAGCCAGACATCAGTTCTTGAAACTGGAAGTGTTGTCCATCTCTGATGTACGTCCCAACAATCTGCATGTACTTTATTCAATAAACCAGAATGAAAAATTAACAAGGTTAAAATTGTTTTAAACATAATATAGTTTAGTTGTGCAAGTCCATTCTCTTTTCGTTTTAAGCAAATATCATGTTTGAACAAATGGATATTTATTAGAAGTAAATCCCATCAACATTAGTAGGTCTTACTTTTGAATAAATAAGTGTAGACTTGATCTGTCAAGAGTGTCAGTGTGATGTCGCACCTGAGTATTGAATTCAATTTACTTTTTCTTTAGGAATCTCTCTTTTGTTACAATTAAAGGTATATCCAGCCAATCCTCCATATTATATTTCCTCTACATTTTGGGGATCCTTTCTTTGTCCATGGTTTTTCATCTACCTAAGAAGATCTCTTACTACTACACATCCACTGGAACCATATTCAATTCTTCCTTGGTAAAAGAATTTCAATTCCAGCACACCACGCCTAACTATATCTTGTCCACTGAGGCTATAGATGCTGGTATCTGGACAGTGAACTCCATTGGGCGTCTTGGGAACCAGATGGGACAATATGCCACCCTTTATGCCTTAGCTAAGATCAATGGGTTTCAAGCCTACATCCATCCAGAAATGCATTCAGCTTTATCACCAATCTTCAAAATCACTTTGCCTGTGATCTCTGCTGAGGTGTTTAGGAAGATCCAGTGGAAGAAAGTTTATTTGCATGATTGGATGTCAGAGGACTATCGTCACATCGAAGGAAAATATGTCGAATTGGGGGGCTACCCTTGTTCTTACACCTTTTATCACCACCTCCGCCAGGAAATTCTAAAGGAGTTCACTTTCCATGACCACATCAAGAAAGAGGCCAATGACTACCTCCAAATCTTGCGGGCAGAACGCCATAATGTGACGTATGTTGGAGTGCATGTCCGAAGAGGGGATTATGTGAGGGTAATGCCCGAAACCTGGAAAGGTGTGGTGGCTGACAAAGGTTACTTGAAGAAAGCCATGGACTACTTTAGAAAGAAATACCTCAACCCCATCTTTGTGGTCACCAGCAATGGGATGGAGTGGTGCAGGAAGAACATTGATACTTCCAGGGGGGATGTTTATTTTGCTGGGGATGGGAAGGAAAACTATCCAGGAAAGGACTTTGCTCTCCTTGCTCATTGCAACCACACAATCATGACCATTGGGACTTTTGGCATCTGGGCTGCCTATCTAGTAGGTGGGGAGGCTGTTTATTTGGCCAATTATACCCTCCCAAACTCTCCATTTCTCAATGTCTTTAAGCCCTCTGCAGCCTTCTTACCTGAGTGGATTGGAATCCCAGCTGATCTTTCTCCGTTGCTGCCTAAATCAACTGTACAACCCTAAAATCCATAAGAATCTCCCCTCTCATAAGTTTGGGTAGAGCAGGCATGCTCCATGTCCTTTTCTGGAATATTGTCATCTAAGAGGCTCTAGGAAGCTGCTTTTCCATGGTGGTCCCTACCCTATATAACAACAACAACAACAACAATAATAATACATCTAACAATGAATCCTTATCTTTCCAGATGATGATGATGATGATGATGATGATGATGAAAGGGACCGTGGAGGTCTTCTAGTCCAACCTCCTGCTCAGGCAGGAAACCCTATACCATTTCAGACAAATGATTGTCCAGTCTCTTCTTAAAAACTTCCAGTTTTGGAGCATTCACCACTTCTGGAGGCAGGTTGTTCCACTGGTTAATTGTTCTAACTGTCAGGAAGTTTCTCCTTAGTTCTAGGTTGCTTCTCTCCTTGGTTAGTTTCCATCTGTTGCTTCTTGTCCTGCCTTCAAGCGCTTTGGAAAATAGTTTGACTCCCTCTTCTTTGTGGCAAGCCCTGACGTCCTTCCCCCATGAACTGGCAGACTGCTACCCTTTTAGCCTACTGCAGTGTTTCCCAAACTTGACAATTTTAAGGCATGAGGACTTCAACTCCCAGAATTCCACAGCCAGCAACGCTGGCTGTGGAATTCTGGGAGTTGAAGTCCACATGCCTTAAAATTGTCAAGTTTGGGAAACACTGGCCTACTGGAAGGCCATAAAGTGTTGGCTCTTTCCCCTGAGGCACTGGGGCAGACTGCAATGGGAGGTTGTGAATGGTCGCTGGAGCATCCCAGGAGGATGACTGAAGCACTGGATTTTAGTCTGCTTTTTATGGGTTTTATAGTTTTTTGAGGGGTGCTGTTGTTGTGAGCTACCCAGAGCCATACAAATTGGTCAGATAAATAAACTGGAACAAACAGTTGTGACTCACATTTAATCAGATACTACTAAAAAGATGCACTTACGACCAGTCACTTAGTGAAGTAAAGGCAGAATTCTCAAGGGCTATTTATGACTCTGTTACGAAGTTCTGACAGGTACACCCCCTCCCCTTTCCCACGGTCATGTGAACCGCATGTCAGAGGCAACAACCATCCTGCATTTACAGCTGTTTGCCGAATCCCTCAGTCACATGACTGAATTTTACCACATTTTTGCAGAAAATTGGCCAGATTTTTCAAAACTGGCCCATAGCCCTTAATAAAGTGGCTCAATGGGGGTCACTTTACACTTTAACGATGGCATTTACTTTATGGCTCTGGTGCTTGCTTTACAATTGTGACGTTCGTTTTATGACTGCGACAACCGCTACAAAGAAGATCATAAAATCACTTTGGTCCAATGGATGACTCATTTTACAACCACTGTAAGATAAAGTAACTTATGTAACTCTGAGTTCGATGTACAAGAGAGCTTCCTATTTAAATTCCTTATGCTTACTGCTTACTTGAAGCAAAGATCTACATTGTTTTATAAAAATCTCTGCCTAGATCATCCATTATGATTTGTACTATTGTACAGTATATAAATTACTCTTCTTTGTTGGGAAATGAACATTTAATTTTCTATTATCTTAGCCCTTGACTTTGGTTATTTGTTGGAATAAAAGGTTTCAGAATTCATTTAGTCTCTGGACTCAGCTTTCTTTTTTCCACTGAATTATGAAAGAATGGTAATCCCATTTATTTTGAGATTAGTTTCAATACCTGCACTAAATGCTTCAAAACATATACAGATAACATATGCAATAGTTTTGACCCTCTCACTCATAAAAAGTTTGTGTTATAGGATAACATTTTAGAAAAGCTGATAAATTCAGTTTCTTCTTTTTAAGCCAAGCCTCACATAAATATTATTTGGACCAAGTAAATACTGATGAATTAGGTTTAAAAACTTTTATATAACTGGAAGCTGAGATTGATTTATCCTAAGTGTTTCTTGATATTTTATTAAGCCTCTCAAATCTGCTCTATTTATTCTATTTCTCTTGCTATATTTGAGGTAACACACATTAGAGGTTTTGGAGAATGGAAAATGAGGCTTTTAGATGGAGGGATTGGGTGATACTAGTTAATTACTTGAGAAACTTCAAGTGAACGTAAAATTGTTCTGCTTGGATTCCCCAGTAGCAAAATAGATGCTGAATATCAAAAGATAGAGAATGAGAGACTGACGAAAAATGAATAACTTTCCAAGATTTGAATATTTATTTTATTTTATTTATTTATTTATGAGACTTATATACCGCTTTAAGTGCAAGCACTCTCTAAGCGGTGTACACCAGTAAGCAATGTATATATATATTTACATTGCCCCCAACAATCTGGGTCCTCATTTTACCTACCCTGGAAGGATGGAAGGCTGAGTCAACCTTGAGCCGGTGAGATTTGAACCGCTGACCTGCTGAACACAGTCAGCTAAAGTGGCCTGCAGTACTAAACCTAAAATTGTGCAGCATCCATTCTTTTTTCCAGTATTTAACTCACAATAGATGAACATCAACAGCAATTTGTGAGTTTTCCAAAGCAAAATTAATAACTGAAATAACTTTTGTCCAAAATGGAGCTGCTATTATACAAAACCATGTCCTATAATTTTCGTATTCAGTGACACTTCTAACAATCAGCAATCTTTTTTTTTCCTGAAAAAGGGGGCATTAATCTCAACAAAGTCATACTTTATTGAATTAATTCTGATTTTAAATGTAAATAGTCTTTTGTAGACATACAAGTATCAATAGTTGAAGCCTTTACTCTTTTCTTTCCTGTTTTTCTAATCAACTAATTTAGTATAGTATAAGAAACATAGCTTGATACAATAAAACATATTTATTGGCAGTCTCACTTGCAACATATGGGGTATAAGAGAGAGGGAGCATCAGCCTTGTGAGGCAGTCGCTAAAGGAAGCCAACCAGATGAACTAATTCTATTTTATTGCAAGATTGCACTAACAGAATCTCTCATTGCTTAGCTTTACAGATCAAGAAACTAGGAAGGATCCCTTCTGAGATATTTGCCATGCCCACAGATTCTGTTATTATACTCTATAACCGAAAGTAGAATTCCAGTATGAATGAAGGTGAATACAAGTGTCCCAAGATAATGTTGCAGGATCCAATATGGGTCAGTCACCGGGAAAAAGTTTTGTCTTCCGAGCTTTTGGACCCGTGCTGGAGCCCATCCTTTGGGAACTTCTCTCTAACAGAGTGTGTGCTGTTCTGTGTGTGTATTTACAGTGCCTGTTGTAAGTGGCTTTTCAAATATTGATTGGGGTATGTTGATAGCTGGCTTTTAAGTCGTTAACTGTCATTTGCTTGTGCTGCCCAGCCTTGGCCTGACTGACGAGGCTGGTGGCAAATCAGGACTCCTATTGAACAATGAACAAGGACACACATTCAGTTTTGCAGCTACTAAGATTGTTGGATGAGCAAGCACAAAAACAGCCAGGGAAGTGATTGAAGCCTGGAAAACAGGCCCCTCGTCAGTCAACAGGAGTGCTGATTTACCACCAGCCTATCAAAAGTACTTAGAAGGTGAGGGCTGGGCAGCACAAGCAAATGACAGCTAACATACCCCAATCAATGTATAAAAGGCCACTTACAACAGGCACTATAAATACACACTCTGGCTAGAGAGAAGTTCCCTGATGATGGGTTCCAGCATGAGTCCAAAAGCTCAGAAGACAAAGCTTCTTCTGGTCCTGGTGCTGACCCAGAATCCTAGTCTTGTTGTATCTGTTTTCCGACCTGGCCTATTCAAAGAATTGACAGGATTTGCTCTGAAAAACATAAATATAAGCCAAAATCTGAATTTGGGGGATCTATAAGTATTTTAGAGTCAGTGGTAGTAGTAGGTTAAACTAAATGAGATACCAGATGGAGCATTGCAATGAAAGTCTATGGAGATGCTCAATCATCCAGGTCATGGTTGCCCCAAAGCTGTTTTTTTTTTTTTCTCCAAAAAGCAACTGGAAACTGAGTTAGAACTGAAGGAGCTTCTTGAATGAGAAGCGAAATATTTTCAAAGGAAAAAACCAAGGAAGTCCAGTTGTTGGATCAATGTTGCATGTGGGTTCAAAAACAGCATAGCTTGCGCCATGACGCTCTATCAGTCATCTTGTCAGTGCTGATTTCCTTTCCTGAAGATCCCATTCTTGGGACTTGATGTTTCCTTAGACCAAAGACTATGGCCCTTTTATGACTTCTGGGCTTCAGCTCCCAGAATTCCTGAGCCAGTCAGGCTGAGAGCCATAGTTCCCAACCCCTGCCTTAGATAGTTGTGGTGTAAGAGTAGACTTTGGTTTACAGCATGAAAACTGTATGGTAAGATAAAATAAGATAAGATAAGATAACCTTTATTATCATTTTTTTACTATGGGCACAAGGGCACACATCAAAAATGAAATTTAGTTGCCCGCTCTCAAAGTGAAACACATACATGACATACACCTAAACATACTATGAACAACATATGTATAGACCCACATCCCTACACATAAGTAGCAATAAATATTAAACACTGTCCATCTTAAATATATAATGGAAGGAGGAAGCTTAAGAGTTTGCAAGGTTAATGTTGTATGGAATGAAACTCTGGCTGAATCTGGATGTTCTGCTACGGATACCACGAAGCCTTCTCCCAAGGTAATAAGGAAAACAGGTCATGAAGAGGATGTGTAGTGTCCCAAATAATCTTGCGGACCCTGCTCAAGCAACGCTTCTGTGCTCTGTCCGGTGCTATGGGAGGGAGGGAGCTGCCAATGATCTTTTTGGCCATTCTCACCACTCTCTGCACCGCCTTCCTGTCTGAAGCAGTGATGCCTCCAAGGCAGACTGTGATGCTGTATGACATGATGCTCTCGATCATCTCCCTGTAGAAAGTGGTCAGGACAGGGGAAGGAAGATGTGCTTTTCTCATGTGATGCAGAAAATGCAGGCACTGCTGTGCCTGCTTCACCAGTTTCTCACTTTGAGCGACCAAGTCAGCCTACTCGTTAGCTGCATACCCAGGAATTTGATGCTGGTAACCATCTCCACAGGTGAATCATTAATGATCTCTTTGGTTTTTCCGGTATTTAAAATTAGGCTGTTTTCCTTACACCAGTTCACCAACCCCTCAACCTCCTTGCGATAAGCTTCCACCTTGTCATCCTGAATAAGGCCCACTACTGTTGTATCATCTGCGAACTTCACAATATGATTGGTGGCAAACCTAGCACAACAGTTCTTCCTTAAAGTCAACTCCCCCTTCCAGCACTGATGATGTTACTTAGTAGGGTAATGAAACATTTGCAAGAAAACACCCACGTTCAGAGTAAC